CATCCTACTAACGAGCTGACGTTGTTACACATCCTACTAACGAGCTGACGTTGTTACACATCCTACTAACGAGCTGACGTTGTTACACATCCTACTAACGAGCTGACGTTGTTACACATCCTACTAACGAGCTGATGTTGTTACACATCCTACTAACGAGCTGATGTTGTTACACATGCTACTAACGAGCTGGTGTTGTTACACATCCTACTAACGAGCTGGTGTTGTTACACATCCTACTAACGAGCTGGTGTTGTTACACATCCTACTAACGAGCTGGTGTTGTTACACATCCTACTAACGAGCTGGTGTTGTTACACATCCTACTAACGAGCTGGTGTTGTTACACATCCTACTAACGAGCTGGTATTGTTACACATCCTACTAACGAGCTGGTATTGTTACACATCCTACTAACGAGCTGGTATTGTTACACATCCTACTAACGAGCTGGTATTGTTACACATCCTACTAACGAGCTGACGTTGTTACACATCCTACTAACGTGCTGACATTGTTACACATCCTACTAACGTGCTGGTATTGTTACACATCCTACTAACGAGCTGACATTGTTACACATCCTACTAACGTGCTGATATTGTTACACATCCTACTAACGAGCTGATGTTGTTACACAACACGAGAAATTCAAATACCGAAATGAAAAAACGGGCTGATAATTCCACAAGATGGGCCAGGAGTTACATAAATGAGGTGAACAGACACCACGTTTCCAGCTCACTGACCATGTCGCTCTGACATCCGCCCACCATCCTGCCCCTCCGGGAGTGCCGCTCGCCGGCTCCCCATCCTCTCGCCTGCATTTCCACCGTGACGGCTGAGTGGGTCTTTCTCACTCCCTCCCTCATTGAGCAGAGGTCACTAAGGGCCTGCAGGCCGCGGGCACTGCAGGGCTACAGGCAGGGCAGCTCCGCCCTGAGCAGCCTGACCTCAACGTCAGTTCTAACCGTTTACCCCCAGGTTCAGCCAGCCCAGGTGCCGGGGGCGGGTCCTTACTTGTCCGTCTCGGGTGAGTAGGTCTCCACAGAGTTGAGGGAAGAGTTGCCGTCGTAGCCCCCACAGACGTAGATCTGCCCGTCCAGCACGACCGTCCCCATGGCGCTGAAAGACAGTCAGCCCAGGGGGCCTCAGCGCCCGGCTGCCTTCCTGTGCCCGAGACATAAACCCAACCACCAACCCTCCCCGAGAGCAGCCTAAACCCAGGACGGGGCAAGTCAAGGTGGGAGCTGAGGGAGGACGCCACCCTGGGCTCCCCGCTCTCTCATCAGGCCTGCGGGTTCGTCTCGTGCCCCTCCTGCCGCTGGCTGTGCTCCTGCTCTGACTGCCCTGCAAGGTCCTGGTCACATTCCTTGCTCTCCTCCTCAAAAGCCACCTGATCCCTCAGCAAGAATGACTCCCCGGCCTCACACTTCCTCAGTGAACCCGACAGTGTTGTGTGAGGTGCCTGTACATACAGGCCTTGGCGTGTTTGGTGTGTTACCATGATCCTCCCATTCAACTCACTGTCAAGTTTGACAGGCGTGTTTTCAGTGCACACATGGCCCTGCATGGCCCTGATCTGCTGCAGTGGGAGAGGGGACAGCTCCTGCAGCTGCGCATCAGGACAGGTGTCAGGTGCCCTACTCTGCACTGTCGCCCCCCCCCCCGCCCAGGAGGCAGCACCATCGTCAGGCACCAACGGTGGCTCCTGCCCAGCTGCCCAGAGAGCGAGCTCAGACGTGAGTGAGACACGTCTTCTCCGTGCTGTGCGCAGGGCCAGCTCCCCCAGCACCAAGGACCCCAGGACCTGGCGTAACCATGCAATCTGCTCCACACGGAGCCTCGGTAAGCGACAAATGCCTAGCTGCCGACTCCTGTGTTCACCCGAAGCTGGAGGAGATTCTCGGTAAATCCTGGCGTCTAACAGGAACGTTAAACTCCAGGCTCCACTGCACAGCAAATCAGAGCGTCCACACGAGGCCCCTGAGCAGCCTGAATGGGAAGAGGACTTGCCTTGGGCAGGGATGTGGGAAGGTCACACACCCACTGGACCTGCCACTGTCTGTTTAGAGGGGACACAAGTCACAACACAGAAGTTCAACAAAAATATGAGAAATAGAGGAGCCACACCAGTGAGATGAACTACCAGCTCAGTGGTAAAGACGAGAATGAGGAGATCAGGGAAATGCTGGCTGGTCCGTGAGAGAAGGCTCCGGAAGCAGCCTGCACGGCTGGGGGAGGGAAGGGAAGGAATGGCGGCAGGAAGCAGCCTGTCACCACTGGCAGGACAGGGGGCCGAGGGGGATGTCAGCAGGGAAGCGACGAGGACATGTGAAGGCAGCCTGTGACTGAAGGGGGTGCACGGAGCTGGGTCCACTGCTAATAACGGCACTGGCCGCGCGGAAACGCACCCCCAGGCCCCTCCCTCCCAGACACTCTCCAACCCGTGGCCTGGAAGCTGGGAGGCAGCCCGGTGCCGACAGACACGGGAGAAGTGACTGCGGTCGAAGCAAAACAGCAGCCACGGCCGGGACACGGAGCGGAGTCACTCGAGGCCCCAGAGCTGCCCAGGACCCAGGGCCGCCGGAGCCGGAGGCGGCGACGGTGGGAAGAACACGAGGGCATTAGCCTGCTCACCGCCTCGGGGGCGGCCTTGCGGACACAGCTTTTCTCCCAGGAACCTGCTGTGGCCCTTTGTGCATCGGGTCTGACTGGTACAGAGGCAGGTCCTCTGGCTCGAGGCCACGGCTGACAGACCCCGATGGAGGTGGGACCTGTGCACCCTGGTGTGACACTTCCATGTGGCAAAGGACTTCACGCTGACCCTTCTCCCCCACTCACATGCAGCCACGTGATCTTGGCGTGGTCACATGATCTTACAAGTAGAGAGCCCCCGGCGTGGCCGGACAAAGCGGCCTGGGAGGCAAAGCCTTAGGCCCTTAAAGAGCAACCGGTCCAGGCTTTTAAACTGCCGCTTTCAGAAAAGCATTCGTGTAACTTGCCCCCCAAGTCGGGCGCAGGTCAGGGAGCTCAGCGTGTAAGTGACACGTGTGCGATCGGCTAAGCGGTGGGGCCTGGGGCTGCTTTCCTCTCCTCTCGGCTCTGGAAGAAGCATCGGGTTCCATCTGAAACCCCTGATCCCGTGTGGCCTCACTGAGGGCAGGAGAGGGAAGAAGTGTCCAGCTCCACCCCACCCGCCGCGAACACTCCACGCGCGTCGATGGCAGGAAGGGTGCGCCGGCACCTCGGCGCGGGAGGTGGGACGGCACTCTCTGGCTGCCCTGAGTCCCACTGCTTGTGCAGGAAAGGTGGGCGGGCGAGCGGCGGAGGATGTGAGAGACGTGCGAGCTTGTCCACCCCCCAGCCCTCCGCACTCGTGCCTGGGGTGGCCCTGAGGTGGAGAGCATGGCTGTGTTCACATGCTCCCCGGGCAGTGAAAGCACAGGCCTGGCCGGGGCCCTGGGGAAAGAAAGGGAAAAGGCAACACCTCGGATTTCCTCTTATCACTCCTTGTCCTGCGAGTCCCCTGTCCCCTCCCCTGACCTCCTCTCCCCGAGACCCTCGGAGGACGGAGGACGAGGCAGATGGGGCCGCTCCCACTGGAGGAGCCGCGGGCTGGCCTGGCTGCGGGAAGTGCCGCCCGCGCCCGTGGTGTATGCTGCCACGTGCCCGCTCGCCCAGCACGGCGCCCCCCGATGCCCGTGTGCCTGCGGGTACCTTCTCTTGCTGTTCATGCTCCCCGCCCGGGCCCACGTGTCCGTCTCTGGGTTGTAGACCTCCACGGTGCTCAGCCGCAGCTGGCCGTCGTAGCCCCCGATGGCGTAGAGCAGCCCGTTCACCACAGCCACGCCGACGCGGCTGCGGGCGGTCGTCATGGGATGGCACTTCTCCCAGCGATTGGCGAGCGGGTCGAACACTTCCACCACGTTCAGGGAATCACCTGCATAAAAATTTGCTACTCACATTAAACACAAGACCCCCGTTTGCACCTCAGCTGCTGGGGACTGGTTAGAGGGGATGTGTAACGCGGCTCTATCGGCTCTCCAAGCTGGAAGGGCCACTGAGAAGGTTCAGCCTGAGAACCTCAAAGCTCAGCCTCGAAGGGAATCAGAACCGGATGGAGGCGTTACTCCCGAGGGAGGGCAATGGGTGCTCCAATGCTTACAGCACAGTGAAGCAGGTGGGTGCAGAGTTCCCCGAGCAGGAGGCAGGCCCCGGGGAGGGTGTGGGTTCCAGCGCCCACCTTCCTCGCCAGCCGGGACCCTGGGCTGTGGCTTGGGGTCCTGTCCTCTGCTCACGGGGAAGGCACTCTCGAGGGCAGAGCGGCCTGAGGTGAGGGGTGTGACCCGTCAGTCACCTGCCCAGTGCTCGGCAGCGGGTGATTCTCTAGCCTCACCTTTTCCTCAGGCTTTTGTGGGGGTCAAATCACACCCCCCCTGCTCCGGGCACTCAGCCTGCCACCCAACAGGTCACTGCTGACAACTCAGAGGCCACAGACTAGTACCCACCCCTCATGGACTTTCAGTTAAAAACAAAGCTGCCCGGACTGCCCCCCCCCCTCCCCCCCGCCCAGACCCGCTGGCGCTGTGGCAAGGCCTGGCCCTCGCACCGGAGACCAAACTCCCTGTCACTGCACTGCCCGGACCCAGGTGTCCTGCCTGCGATGGAGCCTGGGCGCGGCAGGGCGGGCCCACGGAGCTTCCCCCAAACCCCGACTGTCTGATACGAGAGCTGCCACTGGCACCCGGACTGTGAAGCGGGTGCGTCACACTGAGCGGTGAGAGCGACCAGGATTGCTGACCGTGGCCCACACCGCGCGTCTGTCCTTCTTGGGTGACATTCTCGCAGTCGAACCCCAGAGATCCATTTGACCAAATGGGATCAGTCAGCCTGGGGTCAGAGCTGGGCTGAGCCCCTCGACGGCCAGCGGGTATCAGAGAGAGTGCTGGCTCAGGAGTCAGGACCCACGATCCAGTCCCTGCCCGGCCAAAACCAACTGTGAGCACGGGGCAAGTTCTCTGGGCCGCAGTTTCCCCATTGGGAAGGTTAGGGGCCAGGCCTCAGGATTTCTAAAGGCCTCTTTAGCTCAATATTCTGATCAATGGTGACAACACCTGACATGCTTTAACTGCAGAACAATTAAATAAAACCGAGATGGGCCAGAGGGGTCGCACGCACAGGGAGGAACCAGAGGGCAGGCGAGGCTGCTTGGTGCTCCCTCACCCTCGAGTGCAAGGCAGGGCTCTGCGAGGGGGAGCTGCAAGGTACCTGCTGAGTTGAGGCCTCCCACGGCGTAGATGAGCCCAGCGATGGACGTGCAGCAGCGAGGCCGCGTTCGGAAAGCTGGCAGGTGGGGCCGGCGCTCTGGCATGAGGTGATAGTCCTTTGCTTCGTCCACCAGGTCCCTGGAATGAGTGCGAGGTGCTAGGACAGCAGGCATCCTCCCAGTGGGGTCCACACTCCCATTTCCAGGCCTGGTCCCCCCACCTCCACCCGCAGGGGACCCTCGGCAGCGCCCTGGGCAGCCCCACCCTGCTCACCGGCACTTGTGGCAGCATCGCACCAGGTCTTCCTGCTGCACTCGGTCCGACAGGAACTGGGGCCGGCAGAGGGGCAGCCGGATGTTGGACAGCAGCTCGGGCAGGCAGGGCCCCCTCTGCTCGCGGTCGTACCTGACCCAGGCCAGCGCGGCTTCAAAGACCTGCCCAGACAGAGCGACGCTCTGGCGGCAACTCTTCCCAGTCAGAGGCCACTTCCCTGCACCCCGACCTAAGGCCCCCCCTCCCTGCACCCCGACCTAAAGCCCCCCCTCCCTGCACTGAGGCAGTCCCTGGGCTGTTCCATCGTTGCGACTTGTCTCCTGAAGCCACTGTCTTCTCTCTACTCCCCCATGGGGCTCCATCTCGGAACGCAAGCCTGGGTGACCATGACCATTCGCGGCTTTCACCGTGACTCCCTAATGCAGCGGTTCTCAACCTGTGGGTCGCGACCCCTTTGGGGGTCGGACGACCCTTTCACAGGCGTCGCCTAAGACCATCGGAAAACACATATATAATTACATATTGTTTTTGTGATTAATCACTGTGCTTTAATTATGTTCAATTTGTAACAATGAAATTGGGGGTCACCACAACATGAGGAACTGTATGAAAGGGTCGCGGCATTAGGAAGGTTGAGAACCACTGCCCTAATGGAAACCTGTCAGTGGAAGCTTTCCGTATCGCAACAAAGTCCCTGTTCACCCTCCTTCCTGCCGCTCCTGCACCTACTCCCCCAACCCCCGCCCAGGCAGGCTGGCTCCCCGCCCACACGGCCCCTTCACCTAGAATGCCCCTCCTCTCCTCCTCTTCATCTCAACCCGCTCCCCTTTCTTAAGGTCTGGCTCAAGGTCCAGGTTCCCAGGAGCTGAAACAAGTCAGAAGCGAATGTGCACGGAATTACCAGCATCTCCCTTCCCACCTCGCCTACCCCGGCAACTGGGTGGGCCCTGAAGGGCCTGCCCTCCTATCAAAGCTGCACCCCTTGTGCTGAGTTGCGTCCCTTCTCACCCGCCCTAGGACATCACCCCAGCAATCACTCTCTGTTCTCCGACTGCCAAGTCTTCCCTCTTCTGGAGAATTCCCACCGGCAGTCCAACTGCACATATCACTCCTCTCATTTGAACCAAACAAACCCCTCTTGACTTCCTGTTTCCCACTGGCGACTGCCCCAAGGCTACTCTCGCTTAGAGAAAGACGCTTTCAGGAAGTGAGCTATGCTGTTCCCGGTTCCCATCCGTGAGTTCTAACAGTGAAGACGGAAAAGAACCCGGGCCTCCGAGAATAAGGAAGCAATGGAATGCTGTTTAGACACTGAAACGCATAAAGGCCCTGGCTGGTTTGGCTCAGTGGATAGAGGTCGGCCTGCGGACTGAAGGGTCCTGGGTTCAATTCTGGCTAAGGGCACATGCCCGGGTTGCGGGCTCCATCCCCAGTAGGAGATGTGCAGGAGGCAGCCAATCAATGATTCTCTCTCATCATTGATGTTTCTCTCTCTCTATCTCCCTCCCCCTCCTCTCCGAAACCAATAAAAATATATTTAAAATAAAAGGTATAGAGTTTTCATGAAACATGCACATGATATAATACGACAAACCCATCCTAAACGACTGTGTACATATCATGGTCTTCACTTTGTGAAAAAAAGAAGGGAAGACTAGGAAGAGCAGCACCCACGTCGCGGGCAGCCTGCCCTGCGCCCAGACCTGCTCCTCAGAGGTGACGTTCAGCTCATCGCGAGACACCAGCTCCAGCACGTCCTCCAGGGGCAGGCCCAGGAACTCCTCCGACACGGACACCTCCACGAAGTGCTGGTGGACGAAGCTGTTGGCCGCGTCGTACAGCACAGCGCACATCATCGCCTCCGCAAACTGGCGCACACCCAGGCAGTTTTTGGGGTGAAGCCTTTTGCATAAGAAAAAAATGGCAAAAAGAACGAGACATCAGCCGTCTCTCGGACTCGCTTGTGGATACACACTGAAGGCAGGCTTTCCCTCGGGCTCTGCTCGGGGCCTGGTGCTCTGTGCCTCTGGGTGGGAAGCAGCTCTCGGAAGAGGAGAGAAGAGATCAGGTGCTGGAAACCCGTCTGCTTTCCTTCGGCGCCCACGTTCCTGGCTGAGTGGGCACCGCTGGCCACCAGGAAGGCACCGGAGGCGTAGAATGAGAGCTTAAACCCCGAGGAGAAGTGACTCTCCAACATCAGGACCTTACATGTTTCTGTGTTTACACAGAAGGAGCCCGATGGGTCCAACTAGTTAGACCCCCAGAAACAGCCCCAGGCAGCCACCCCCAGGGAGCCCAGCGCTTTGCCAGGCCTGCGATCTTTCTCCAGAATCTTAACGCTGCAGAGCAGTCAGGGCTGTCATTTTCAGGTGGAAAATGAGGCTCAGAGAAGCGATAAAGGGCATAATTGGGGCACGAAAAACGGCTCTGGTCTAAAACTCCTGTTCTAAGCATGTTTTAGGGACACGACCCTGTAACGGCCTGGATCCAGGGTGACGGCGATGCCCGCCACAGCCCCTAGGTGGAGCTGTTGTCCCGAGAGGCTGGCCACTTCATCCTTCCCAGGGTGCCTACTCAGCATTCTCCACATTCCTGGGGACAGAAACTGAATCCAGGCTGCGTCCTTAAGCCGCTTACAAACGAGTAGGAGAGACAGTGTCTGCCCCAGCCCCGACCTGCAGCCTCCAGCCTGCCCAGAAGGCACCCAGGGCAGGCTCCCGCCAAGCTCTGGGACTGGGGGTCTCCACCACGAACCCACGCACCCCGCACCCAGGAGAGCACCTCATGTTGGGCATCGCTGCCCGGGTCACCAAGACCAGCTGCACACAGCCGTGCCCATGAGCACCACCGGCCGGTGTGGCTAGCAGGGGCGGCCACAGAGCTCAGTGAATGGGGTTGGTGGAGGTGAGAGGGAGAGGTCGGCTCTAGGAGGGAGGAGGCTCAGAGGGCAGAGCTGAGGCGGGAGGAAGGCTGGTCTTCAGGCCGGGAACCTGCTGGTCAGAGTTGTCAGGTGCAGACCAGGCCCTGGAGGGCACCAGGCACAGGAGCGCTTGGTGCCAGCTCGCCTGCCTGTGTGGTTAAAAGGCGGCTTTTACCTTATGACTAAGAGCTCTGCCCGCTTTGGAGGGGGGGGAGACTGCTCAGTCATCAGAAGGGCACTGTCGAGTGCTGGGCACAGGACAGAGGTGAGCCCAGTCCTCCCCTAAAAGAGCACAGGGGACTGAAAGCCCCAGGAGGCGGCATCTGGGTGGGCTGTTAAAGAGCTGAAGGGGAAACAAGGATGGAGACGTCCAGGAGGGAAGGATCTGAACAGAGGCGGTGTCTGGAACGGTCAGGGAGCACCGACTAAACCAGCGCGGTGAGAACGGTCGGCTCAATTAGCAGCTGGTCAGCTTGGGGAGAGAGGACCAGGAGGAGAGGAACACGTCAGGCCCAGGGAGAGAGCAGGCAGGGCCTGCTCGCCGTAAACCACGTTCCTCAGGGGTTCAACCCAAAGGGCTGGGCACCGCCTGGTACTGATTTCAAGAAAGGTCGTTTCTGCAGAGTGGCCTCCCGGCTCGCTTCTTCCTCACACTCCGTGTCCCAAAGACTCGGCGAACTGGCAGGGGCTCCGGAAATGAAAAGGTCACGCTCCCCCCAGGCCGGCCCATGCCCTCACCGTTCTTGGAGGAACGTGCAGCAGGCATCTTTGATGCTCTGCAGCTGCAGGAAGCTCGCCCCCATCAGCAATGACTGGACATTTTGCTGGTCGATGGCGAGGTGGCCGTTGTAGGCAAAGTTGATGAGAGCCTCCAGGGCGCTAGAGGGAAGAGGAGAGGTGCTCTTTAGAGACGGGTCTTCGCCCACGAGACTCGGCCCTACGTGGGCGGACAGTTCCGCCTGGGGAGACGGGCCCACCCTAGCAGCCATGACATCCTTGCCCTTGGAGAGCCTACTGAATGGGATCCTTCTTCCCCAGAGCCGGACTGTCCCACTTCTTGTCTGTGTTGCCCACATCGTTTTGTTACAGAAAAGTTTAAAAAGAGAAAGCAATCCCCCACACGTCACTACTGAGCAGGTCCACGGTGTCACCTCCCTAGGCCCTTTCATCCCTCTTTGCACAAATGGTGTAAATCTGTTTAAGACTCACAAGGCCCTTTCCATGTTGCTACACTGACTTCACGTCTTGTTTTTAGTGGCTGCTATGCAGTATTCCGGAAGGTAAGTATGCTCATTCCCTTTGTTACCAGGTGTAATAGCTACTACCATCTTACTGCCATTATCAGTCATGGTTGTGGACTATTCTTTCTTTGGGATAAATTTCCAGAATGAGAATTCCAACATTTTCTTCTCCCCCCCGATGCACAGAGAAGAAAATCCAAATTCCACCCAGGCCTGCCCGTGGCCTGGCTCCTCCACTGCACGACCTCGTCACCGTCCACTCCGTCCCCCTCACTCACCCGGGGCCTCTGCTCTCTTCGGAGGGCTCGTCCCCCAGGTGGCTCAGTCCCTCACTTCAATGAAGCTCTGGGCTTCACGGCCACCTGGTCACAGAGGCCTTCCCGGCCTCCCTGAATACACAGGCCCCTCCTCATGTGCTCGCCTTGGCTCTGCTCTGCTCTCCTGACATCACGTTCACTTCCCGGCCAGCTCACGCGTGTACCTATCACCAGCTCACGCGTGTACCTATTACCAGCTCACGCGTGTACCTATCACCAGCTCACGCATGTACCTGGCTATCACCAGCTCACACGTGTACCTGTTTATCACCAGATCACGCGTGTACCTATCACCAGCTCATGCGTGTACCTATCACCAGCTCACGCGTGTACCTGTCTATCACCAGCTCACGCGTGTACCTGTCTATCACCAGCTCACGCGTGTACCTGTCTATCACCAGCTCACGCGTGTACCTGTCTATCGCCAGATTCCTCCACTGGAGTCAGTGCAGGAGAGGTGCTTCCGTGTCACCCCTCAGGCAGCCTCGCACACACACAGGTGCTTGGCGGCCTGCGAAGGAAGCGCCTGCACTGTGCTTGGCGATTAGCACGGCTCCTGCAGACACAGACCTCGGAGAAGAGAGTACAGCTGCCCTGAGGCCCACTTGTGTGTGCTTCCTCCAAATCCCCGGCCTGAGCCGTCTGCAGGCGTGGTTATAAATCCTCTCCGTGCCCTGGGGCCGATACCTCAACCAGCAGAGGGCGCCACAGGTTCGCAGCCCCTCTCCCTTGTATTTTCACATCGTGAGGTGAGGCAGCAAATGCCAGGCCACTAGCCAGTGTTAGAGTCACTGGTCATTTATTGTCTCGTCCCACGAGAACGTCCTCACCCTGTGCCACCTTGTGCGTCGTGCCTGCTGCTGCATCCCCAGACCCCAGGTCAATGACAGGCACAAGTCGGTGTGCAGGGCACCCCGGGATACAGCCCAGGTCACACACACAGCCTCAATTCATAGATCTGCAGCAAATCTTTTTAGTGACATAAACATGCCTTTTTCCTTTCAAGGCCCAAAAAGGCATACTATGGAACATCCTACATAATCCTATGTAATAAAAGCCTAACATGCTAAGTGTCCAGTTGTCTGTTCGACCAATCAAAGTGCAATATGCTAACGATATGCTAAGGCTGTTCAACCGTTCACTATGATGTGCACTGACCACCAGGGGGCAGATGCTCTGACCGTTAGGTTAGCTTAGCTTGCTGCTGGGGTCCGGTTGATCGGGACTGAGACCGGTGGACACATCCTGGAGCCCTCCTGCAATCCCTCCCCGCTGGCCAACCTCCAGCATTTCTCCCCAGCCCGGATCATACACGGGTGGGGTCCCTTGGCCTGGCCTGCGCCCTCTCGCAATCCAGGACCCCTCGGGGGGTGTCGGAGAGCCGGTTTCGGCCCCATCCCGCAGGTCAGGCCGAGGGACTCCACTGGTGCACGAATTCGTGCACTGGGCCTCTAGTGTTTATATAAAGTCTTTAGACAGAAACCGGGAGTATTTCCATGAAGCGTGTCCAGTGCTAAGTGACTCCAGACGTGAGGACAACTTCAAATAAGCCCCTGAGCGATGTGGTCTCGGGGGTTATGGACTGCACCTGCCCCCGGTTCCTCTAGGGGAGAACTTCTCCCCACTATGCTATGCGGCCTCTTGGATGGAGATGTTTCGGGGGGGCCACGTTTGAGCCTGACATCCTCGGGCTTCAGTATTCTCATCCATCAAATAGCTACGATCTCTGCCACCTTCTTGACCTGTTGCTCCGAATAATATCAGCTACACGCAGGTATTTAAAATTACTTCTAAACGAACTGAAATGAAATACAATTTAGAATTCAGTTCTCCCGTCCCACTAGTCCCACTCCGAGTGCTCACGTGGCTCGTGGCTCCCGTCCGGCGAGGACCGCAGGACAGTCCCGTCACTGCAGGAAGTGCTGAGGGACGGCACTGCTGCAGACCGAGGACGGGCTCTTGAGAAGTTTGCCAGCTCACACGGCTGGCACAGAGAAGTGCAGAGAATTACAAACCCACCTTTGTACCCGTCCCAGACAAAAAATGTATCTTGGACTCTATTGCCTATTAAATGTGCTATGAACCCTGATGCCCCTAACAGAGCACAACACAGCAGATGCCTCACTTTCACCCTGTCTCAGGCCACAGGCGAGGGCCTAACTTGTTCAATGATCGCCACACAGAGCGGAGCGTGCACTGGGCGGTGCTGGAGACGCCGTGTCCTGCTGCGGGCCCCAGGGGGCACCGGGCACCAGCACCGGCAGGACTGCGCAGGGAAGCAGCTGGGAGGCCTGGCGGAGGAGCGCAGTACCTGGGGTCCATTCCCTGCATCACAATCTCATCCTGCTTGCACTCCATCATGTCATTGGTGAACATCGCGTGGAAGTATGGGATGGAGGCTGCCAAGACGATTCGGTGAGCGCTGAATTTGTGGTCCCCGATCTGCGGGCGAAGTAAAACACAGAGATAGGGAGGAAGGCAAATACAAAGACCCAACACGCCCTTCCACGCTGACCCCGCCCCCCCATGGCAGCGAAGGCATCCACCTCGTGATGGCCACGGCTCACCATGGAGACCCGCGAGTCCCCACTCGGTGCCCTCAGTTATGGACATGCCAACAGCTCACCTCACAAGGGTTCAAACATGCGAGCCCGAGGGCTTCACACGGCCGCTTCGCTCACATGCGTCTCCACCGCACCCCTCCCGACGCCCCCAACCCCTGACTTCCCTGACACTGGCCAAGAGCCCTGACGCCCCTAGCAGCAGGCTCCTCAAGAGTAAGTACTCAGTGACAGGAAGAGACCAAACGTGAATAGGGGCACATGTGGGATCAAGGACAGAGGAGGCGCAGTGGGTGCAAAAGCTGGGGCGTCCTTGGGTACGAACCAGCCTGTGGTGGACGGCGCGGAGCCCAGAGCGCCTCTGAGGGGACTGAGCCTGGCAACAGCTGGGCTGGAGCTGTGTGTGGCCCAGGCGCTCAGCCACAGGGCGAACTCTAATTTGTATCAAACCCTCAGGGTGGCGTCCACAGCCCAGGGAGTTCTAAAGTGCTTGCCAACGACCTGCCCAGAGGATGCCTTCACGGCCCCACCGCACCCACATTCCCACGAAGCACTGCTGCTCTTCAGCACCCATCCCCTCCCCTTCACCAGCTTCCTGACTCTAACCCGAGCTCACCTCACCTGTGTCACCTCCATCCAAGGATTCCAGCTGGAGCCCATCTGTCCCCCCCGTGTGCCCCCTCCGTTACCCCCTCGCTCTGGTGGAGGCTCTAAGCTGGGTGTCCTTCAAACTGTGTGACTCACACGCTTCTGAAACCAAACACTGGCTATCACATTGTCAACCTCCAAGAGGTTTCCTGAGGTTCCTTTTCCTTTTTAAGAATATGCTGTCCATGTTTCATGAATGTACTATTTCTCTAATCGCTCCAGATCCCAGAGTGACCTGTCTCCTCCTCCTCCCTGCCTCCACGGTTTCTTCGGCATTTTCGTCCCCCATCGTTTTGGCCTGTCTGTTCTGCGAGAGGCTTGCTCTCAACGTCTGGTGATGTTGGTCAACTGCTCCTACTTTTAGAAGCTGTTTGAAAGCTGAGTGTGAGTGTGAGTGTGAGTGTGTGTGTGTGTGGGTGGCCTAGGCTTGTCAAGCGTGGGTGTCACATTGGGGTGACAGATGAAGACCGGCCATTTTCACTGGGGACCCTAGAAGCAGGCGTCGTCAGCGCTCTCAGAGGGGGACCCGTCTTGTGCGGGGAGTGACTGCGTGCAGATACCCTGGCAACTGGTGAGGGGTGGTCCTGCCTTCCCTGCTTAGGACTTAGTCTGAGGCCTGACTGTCAGTTCTGCTCCAGGCCATCCCGTCTTCTGTGCTTCGTGTGCCTCCATTTCAACACCTCAGACGGGAAGCCCTGCCCCCTGAGAGGACGGGGGAGGGACTGTAGGCATCTAATTGCTGTTCACACAGACTTTCAACCGATCTTCCTGTTTTCAGTATTGGTTTCTTCAGCTCTGGCGCTGTTCCAGGTTCCGCGTCACAAATCCTCTCTCTTCTTCGTTTCTCGCCAGCAGGCCCTTTCGGTTCCTCTGGCCACTGAGTTCATCGCACGTGCTTTTTGCCTTTAACATGCCATCAATTGCTCATTTGCCGATATCTTTTCTCCCTTTATTATCATTTTAATGATATCACAGGAGGGAATGGATGTTAGAATGTGTGTTCAATCTGCCGTGTTCAACTGCTATGTATTTATTTTCATCTAGAAAGTGGGAAGACACAGGAGAACAGGCTGCATGTGCTGCGTGACTGGGCGACCTGATTCCCAAAAGAGCTCAGCTAGAACGAAGACAGCTGCCTGGGGAGATGCTCGCCGATGACAGCTGCACCCGTGTTCAGCTCAGGTCTGTCTCTACCTGGAAGGGAGACCACGATGGGAAGGGAAAACGATTCGTCTTATGAGGAAGAGCTGAGGAGAGTTCGTCTGGAAAAGATCATTTCGGAGTCGGGGCCCAACAGCCGTCACAAACCCTAGAAGGCCTATCACACGAAGGAGGGCAGGCCCAGAAGGAAGCGGATTTTAGTTTAAAGAATAAGCGTGTTAGAGGGAGTCCTTCATTGGTTCTAAAACTATTAAGGGACCTTCCAATTCTACAGTCCTGTGCTCTTACACTTTTGTGAAAAGCTTTAAAAACACCAAATACCCTCATTTATAATCTCAGTTTTTTAAAATGTCACTTAAGAAAAATGAGATAATCATTTATTGAGTTCCCATTATATTTTCTCATTTTAGTCCTCTGCTATGAATTCCAGTAAACCAAGATTTAGAAGTTAGGTAACTTGCCCAAAAGTTAAATAGCTATTATGTGAAAAATAAAATAAAATAAACATATCCTCGGGTGAGGATTAAAAAACTTCTGTTGCACCCAGCTGAGAGCAAATGCTATAGAGGACTAAGATATAAACAACTGAAATCCTCACAGTTCAGTCTGCTTAACAGAACCTGGACCAGAGAAAAAAACTCAGGAGTTTTAGGGCCAGCTCTGTTCCAGACATAAGCAAGCTGCCCAATTTCACCATGCTTCAGGTTTCCAGGTTGGAATACAGGATTTTACTTATGGGGGCAGGGCAAGCAATATAGTAATCAATCAATTAATTGATTCTCAAGAGAAGCATTATAAATACTGGTAAACGTTATTATAATAAATCACTCTAGCCCTAACCGGTTTGTCTCAGTGGATAGAGCGTCGGCCTGTGGACTCAAGGGTCCCAGGTTCGATTCCGGTCAAGGGCATGTACCTTGGCTGCGGGCACATCCCCAGTAGGGGGCGTGCAGGAGGCAGCTGATCGATGCTTCTCGCTCATTGATGTTTCTAACTCTCTATCCCTCTCCCTTCCTCTCTGTAAAAAATCAATAAAATATATTTAAAAAATAAATAAATAAATAAGTCGCTCTATTAGACAATATTAGAAAGTACAGCACAGTGTTAATTGTCAAAATACGTGCCAATCTCCCCCTCTGTGACCGCCCCAGGGGGACACAGCATAAGGTCATGGCACCTGCCAACGAGCCAGCTCCCACGCACCGTTCCCTGCTGCAATGGAGGCGAATCCCTCCCCTTCACCCCAAGCCTCAGTGTTCTCCTCTGCATATGAGGGGCTTGACTGGATGCGGCTTCTCAACAGGTGGTAGCTGTGCTTACAATAGCTTAACACAAATTCAGGTTGCTTTTCCCCTTTTTTATATATATAGTCGTTTTTCTTTTTAAAAAAATATATTTTTATTGATTTCAGAGAGGAAGGGAGAGGGAGAGAGAAAACACAAATGATGAGAGAGAATCATTGATCAGCTGCCTCCTGCACGCCCCACACTGGGGATGGAGCCCATAATGCAGACATGTGCCCTGACTGGAATAGAACCGTGACCTCCAGCTTCATAAGTTGACGCTCAACCACTGAGCCACACTGGCTGGGTGAGCTTTTCCTTGATTTGATGACATCTACATACATTTGAAGAGTAACTATACACAAGTAAAAGATCTGCAGTGCACACGTGGATTTGGGGGTGCCTGGCAATGACTACGCAGGACCCCTGCGGCACGCAGAAGTAAATAGCGAGTAGGGTCCAAGACTGTAACTAGGCAAAGGGTCCCAGAAGTCCTGAGCACCTGTCTACCTAACTTCTGACACGTTCTCTCTCTCTCTCTCTCACACACACACACACCTGAGCACCTGTCTACCTAACTTCTGACACGTTCTCTCTCTCTCTCTCTCTCTCTCTCTCTCTCTCTCACACACACACACACACACACAGACACACACACACACACACGCCTTCCCATTCTTCCTTGGAAAGCCTGGGAAACTGCCCTGGTGGTATCTCTGGGTCAACAGGGATGGCGTAGCTGACACCACAAATTCTGTTTCCTATCACAGGCCAAGTGTGGCTCAAGATTCAACCGCTGCCTCTTCATGCAGGAAAAGCAGCGGGGCCAAATCTGAGCTGGGAGTCACCTCAGACAGGTGTTCCCAAAGAAAGCAAGAGGTGCCTGAACAGATTTCTTCTTGATGGAACATTTCGATGCTGCTGCCCCTGCCTTCCAGGAGCTGTGAACACACACGACACAGGAAGTGAGCAGCTCAGTGCCCAGCCTGTGCAGACAGAGCACCCTTGGGGACGTGGGGTCTAGGCAGTCACAGAGATGCTGATGGGCACAAGGAGTCATCCATAATTTTACTGGGCACAAATCTGAGTCATAAAGGCTATGAAGCTGGTGTGTAAGAATGAGTCTGTGACGGAGACGTAGCAGGGATGAATTAATCTCTAAAACTCCTTTAGGCTAGAAGTCAATCATTGTAAATGTTTAAGGGAGACCCCATGTCCTGGTAGTAAGAACAGGTACTGTGGGGCTAAGTTACCTGGGTTCGAACCCGGGGTCTGCCATCTGCGACCTGTGACCCCGGGCTAGTTACTTAACCTCTCTGTGCTCAATGTACACATTTGCAAAGTTAGGTCAATAACCCTTCTCTCGGGGGTTATTCTGAGGATGAAATTAGCTAACATCTATAAGACATTTAACACAGTGCATGACACACATTCAGTGCTATATGACTGCTTGTTAAAGAAAATGTCCTCAAATCCAGAACTTTATAGAAGTTATTTGTAAGACCTTTAGAAAAGGGGTCAGCAAACTATGGTCTAGGGGCCAAAATCTGGACTGCCTCTTGGCTCTGTGCAACGCATGACTAAGTGTAGTTTTTACATTTTTTTTAAAATATATTTTATTGATTTTTTACAGAGAGGAAGGGAGAGAGATAGAGAGTTAGAAACATCGATGAGAGAGAAACATCGATCAGCTGCCTCCTGCACATCTCCCACTGGGGATGTGCCCGCAACCAAGGTACATGCCCTTGACCGGAATCGAACCCTGGACCCTTGAGTCCGCAGGCCGACGCTCTATCCACTGAGCCAAACCGGTTTCGGCAGTTTTTACATTTTTATATGGTTGAAAAAAAATCAAAAGAAGACATGTTTCATGATGTGAAAGTTACATGAAATCCAAACTTCAGCGTCCATATACAGTTTTATTGGAACACAGACATATCCACAAAATGGCACAGCTGCGTAGCTGGAACAGTGACCGGGAACCGGCAGAGACAACGTCTGCCCTGGCCAGTGCGGCTCAGTTGTTGAGCGTCGTCCCAGCAGTGAGAGGTCGCCGGTTTGATTCCCGGCCAGGGCACATACCCAGGGTGCAGGTTCTAAAAAATAACTTACTTCTGCCCGCTGGCCTCTGCTCACAGGGAACAAATATGAGAAGATGCTGGTCACTCATCTAGGACCCTCAACCCCCCGCCATGCCGGCCCACATCACACCTGATTTGCCGCTGATGTTCACAGACTTTCTCTGCTGACCTAGTGGGCGCTGTCTGTCCTTGTGGAATTCAACACTGAGATCGTGTTGTTTACAAAACGTTTGCTCCTTTCAGAAAGGAGATGAGCTAAGCCTGCACAGAGGCATTCGGGCTGGAGCCACGAACGGCGTGCATGGGCCTGCCACCAACAATGTGCCTTTTTTAAGCCTTTGCTTTCTTAATCACAGTTACACAATTTTCTCTTTCTCCATTCCTCCCTCCAGCCCATGGAGTTTAAATGCTAACCAGCCTCGGCAAATAATGCAGCCTCGTCCATCAGAAATGTAGGAGGTGAGGCCTTGAAGCACCCATCCTCCTACCCCAGGTACCAACCAACCCTCCACCTTACTGAGCAACCACTGAGCACAAGGCCAGAGCAGCCCAGCTCTCCACTCCCAACCGAAATGGGATTCAGATGTCAGATGAGAAAGGCTATTCCATGTTTGAGACGTGAAGCCTCCGCCTCAGGGACTGTACTTTTCTGTGTTTATCTGCTCCAGTGGCTAACCTTTAGAAAAGGCTCACCTTAAGGCTCACCTGAAGACCTTAAGTCCTGGGCTCCCTCCGGGGCAGCAAGGAGCTATCAGATGCTCTGTCACCCTCCATGAGTGACAGACCGGCCTGCAGTGGGAGGAGGTGCTGACCATGGAGGGAGTCTGGGCAGGATTTCAAGGCCCCAGGCCCACCAGCAGCCCTGTCCTTTCTCCAGTTCAGTACACGAGCTGGTAACTGATGGTCTTGCTGAGGCTGGTTCTGCCACTTCCAGCCTGAGTTCTGATCACTGGTGTCCAGACAAAGCCCTGGGGGCTCAGGAAAGGGGGTCCTCCTTGCTGGCCTTAATCAATGGGCTAGGACGGAAGATGGCTTCCCTGAGCTCTGGGTGGGCCCTGTGGTGCCTGGAGGCCCCACTCGGCTACCCAGCCAGGTGTCACAGGGCCCCTCTGCACAAACACCTGGTGCTGGGCCCAGGCCGGGCAGACGGCACGTGGCAAGCACAGTGTTTCACTGATGGGACAGGACGCCGAGGTGCGCACAGAATCGGCCAGCAGGTGTCTCTGACTGTGTGACTCACGGGTTGCATTCCTAAGGGTTTACTTTCTTGGAAAAGGTGTCATTACTTTGGAGGGAGAAGCAAACCCACGACCTGAATTCCTGTCATAACTAAGGTGAGTGACCTGCCTGAGGCCATTCGGTTCCTCCCCCGAAACTGCGGACGGTGGATTTTGGAGACATGTGGCTCTTTCCCGCAATTCC